TATTTTATTTTTTGTTGTTGTTGTGATTGTAAATAAGATTGTTTCCTTGATTTCTTTTTCTGGTAGTTCATTGTTAGTGTATAGGAATGCAACTGATTTTTCAAAATTGATTTTGTACCCTAACTTTGCTGTAGTTGTTGATTATTTCCAATAGTTTTCTGGTGGATTCTTTATAGAGTTTTCTATATATAGAATCGTATCACCTGCCATTAGCAAAAGTTTCACTTCTTCCTTTCCAATTTGGATTCTTTTTACTTCTTTTTCTTGCCTAACTGCTCTGGCCAATACCTCCGATACTATGTTGAAATAGGAGTGGCGAGAGTAGTCCCCAAGACACCCCTGTCTTGTTCCTGTTCTCAGAGGGATGGCTTTCAGTTTTTCGCCATTAAGTATGAGTTGGCTGTGGGTTTGTCGTATATGGCCTTTATTGTGTTGAGGTACTTTCCTTCTATACCTTCTCTCTTTTTATTGAGAGTTTTTAAAATCATAAATGGCTGTTGGATCTTGTCAAATGCTCTCTGCATCTACTGAGAGGATCATGGGATTTTTATTCCTCACTTTGTTGATGTGGTGTATCACATCGATTGATCTGCAGATGTTGAACCATCCCTGAGTCCCTGTAATGAATCCCACTTGATCATGGTGTACGATTCTTGTAATTTATTGCTGTATTCGGTTTGCCAATATTTTGTGGAGGATTCTTGCATCTAAGTTCATAGTGACATTGGCCTGTAGTTCTTCTTCTTGTCCTTGTCTGGTTTTTGTATCAGGACAAGGCTGACTTCATAGAGTGTGTTAGTCAGTGTTCCACATTCTTCAGTTTTTACGAATAGTTTGAGAAGGATAGGCACTAAATCTTTGAGTGGTTGGTAGAAGTCTCCAGAGAAACCATTTTGGTCCTGGACTTTTGTTTTTTGGCTGGTTTTTGATTACGATTTCAATCTCTGTATTTGTGATTGGTCTGTTCAGATTCTCTGTTTCTTCTTGATTTAGTTTTGGGAGGGTGTATAAGTCTAGGAATTCATCCATTTCTTCTAGGTTATCGAATTTGTGGGCATATAGTTTTTTCATAGTATTCTCTTATAATCCTTTGTATTTCTGCAGTATCTATTGTAATTTCTCTTCTTTCATTTCTAATTTTATTTATTTGAGCCTTCTCTCTTTTTTGTCTTGGTGAGTCTGGCTAAGTGTTTGTCAATTTTGTTTATCTTCTCAAAGAACCAGCTCTTAGTTTCATTAATCCTTTCTACTGTTTTTTTAAGTCTCTATTTCATTTATTTGTGGTCTGATTTTTATTATTCCCCTCCTTCTGCTGACTTTGGGCTTTGTCTGTCCTTCTTTTTCTAGCTCTGCTAGGTGTACTTCAAGATTACTTATTTGAGATTTTTCTTGCTGGCTGAGGTGGACCTGCATTGCTATGAATGTCCCTCTTAGGACCTCTTTTGCTGCATTCCATAAGAGTTGGTATGTTATATTTTCATTTTCATTTGTCTCCAGGTATTTTTTAATTTCCCCTTTGATTTCCTCAATGATCCAGTGGTTGTTCGGTAGCGTGTTGTTTAGTCTCCACATATATTTCTGACTTTCCCAGTTTTGTTCTTGTGGTTCTAGCATTGTGGTCAGAAAAGATGGTTGGGATGATTTCAATCTTCTTAAATTTATTGAGGCTTGCCTTGGTTCCCAATATATGGTCTATCTTTGAGAATGACCCATGTGCACTTGAGAAGAATGTATAGTCTGCTGTTTTCAGATGGAATGCTCTCTATATATCTATTAAATCCATCTGATCAAGTGTTTTATTTAAATCTACTATTCCCTTGATATTTTGTCTGGATGATCTGTCCATTGGTGTGAGTGAGGTGTTGAGGTCCCCTACAACTATCATATTGCTGTTAATTTCTTCCTTTATGTCTGTTAATAATTGCTTTACGTACTTTGGGGCCCCTATGTTACGTGCATATATATTAATAAGTGTTACATCCTCTTGGTGGAATGTCCCTTTTATCATTATATACTGCCCCTCTTTGTCTATGCTTGTGTTTTTTAACTTGAAGTCTGCTTTGTTTGATAAAAGTATGGCAACACCTGCTTTCTTTTGTTGGCCATTAGCTTGGAGTATTTTCCTCCATCCCTTCCTTCAAAGCCTGTGTTTGTGTTTGGAGCTGAGTTGCATTTCCTGGAGGCAGCATATTGTTGGGTCTTGTCTTTTAATCCATCCAGCTACTCTGTGTCTTTTGATTGGAGAGATCAATCCATTTACGTTTAGAGTGATTATTGATATATGAGGGCTTAAGGCTGCCATTTTGTCTCTTGTTTTCTGGTTGTTCTATGTTTCCACTGTTTCTCTTCCTTTGTATTTCTGACTGCCATTTCATTTTATTGGTTTTCTGAGGGATATTTCTCACTTTTTGTGAATTGTGGCTCTGCTTTGATTTTTTGGTTGGTGGTTACCGTGAGGGTTGTAGGAAAGATGTTGGATATGTGATAGACCATTTCCTCATAGCCTCTTATCTCCATTAACCTAAGCAGGTTCCTTCCCTTTCCTCTCCCCTTCTGAGTAACTGCTGTTAAAAATTTTTCTGTTTTTAATTTTTTGAGTTTGTGGCTAAGTTGAAGTGTTTACCATTACTTTTGATGCTTTCTTTCCCTTTCTCTTATAAGTTATAATTGAGTCTTTGGTTCTCTGTCCTGGTAGAGGGCACACGTTTCTTATCATGTCTGTGTATTTGTATCCTTGCTCAGAGCCTTGTAGACCTTTGTCTTTCTGTTGCCAGTGTGAGGGCATCTTTGCTTATTTCTTGTAGGGGGAGGTCTAGCGGTGATGAACTCCCTCAGCTTTTTTTTATCTGGGAAAGATTATTTCTCCATCGTATCTGAAGGAAAGCTTTCCTGGCTAGAGTATTCTTGGCTGAAAGTCTTTGTCTTTCAGTATTTTGAATGTATCATTCCATTCTCTCCTAGCCTGTAGGGTTTCTGCTGAGAAGTGCACTGAAAGCCTGATAGGATTTCCTTTGTAGGTTATTTCCTTCTGCCTTGCTGCTCCTAGTATTTTTTCTTATCACAGACTTTTGCCATTTTTACAATTATATGCCTTTGAGAAGTTATTTTAGTGCTGATGAAGTTGGGCATTTGATTAGCTTCATTTATCTGTAAATCTGAAGCCATCTCCAGCTTTGGTAAGTTCTCAGCAATTATTTCTTTGAACAAGCTCTCTGCTCCTTTCTCCCCCACTTCTCCCTCTGGAATACCTATAATCCTTATGTTGCTTTTCCTAATTGAGTTGGATATTTCTCAAAGGATTCCTTCATTTTTTAAAAATCTTAGTTCTGTCTCCTCCTCCACCTGTAGAATTTCCACATTTTTACCCTCAAGAAGACTAATTCTTTCCTCCATAAGATTAGTTCTATTTATTAAAGATTCTAGATTATTTTTTCATTTCATCAATTGTGTTTTTCATATCCAGAATTTCTGCTTGATTTTTTTATAGTTTCAATCTCTTTGGTGAAGAGATTCATTTTATTGCTGAGCTCCTTGAATTGTCTTTCTGTGTTTTCTTGGAAGTCACTGAGTTTCCTTATGATGGCTATTTTGAATTCTCTGTCATTTAGGTTGTATATTTCTGTGCCTTCAGTGTCAGTTTCTAGAGAATTGTCATTTTCCTTCTGGTCTGAATTGTTGCTGCAGTTTCTCATGGTGTTTGATGAACTAATCTTTTGTTGGGGCATTTGTGGTATTCTTAGGGCACAGATTCCCCCTGTTACTACTGGGGGGGGACGGGAGCAGGAGCAGTTTTCCTGGCCCCACCTCATCTGCTGGGAGCTGTGGGTGTATTATGGGTGCTTACCCCAGCCTGGGGTGTGTTCAGGCATTTGTGTGGACTCTCCTTGTCAGGCAAGGCTTCCTCGCTGGGCTAGGTCCACTCTGGTGCCTCAGGGGCCCTCTGAGCTCCCCCTCCCTGCCTGAAAGTGGTCACCAGCGGGCTCAAAGCTACCGTGCCTATTTTCACAGCATCCTGGGGCCTGTTCCTCCTTTGGGAGCTCAGCAGCACTAGGAGCACTTATATACGGGCCTGGGGAGCATTTGCCCCAGCAGGTGGATCTTCTGAAGTCTTTGTTTATGGTCTGCAGTCTGAGGGGCCACTGTGCTTGGCGCTTGGGGCTTCCCTGCTGGGACCCGAGCTATGACTGCTCCTTGACAGCACTGGGGCACAGCAGGCTCTCCCTGTCCACCAGGAAAGTGAACCTGAGTGGGTCCAGCTGCGTGCCTATTCCCACAGCTGCCCAGGACCCGCTCCCTGTTTGGGGACTCAGCAGCACTGTGAGTGCTCACATACATGCTTGGGAGCCTTTTGCCCCAGCACGTAGATCTGCTGAGGCCTCTGTTTACAGTCCACAGCCTCGGTTCACTAGGCTGCTGTGCTTGGAGGGCGGGACATACTCACTGGGACCCGAGCTATGGCTGCTCCTTGGTGGCACAGGGGCAGCAGTGGGCTCCCCCTCCCTGCTGGGAGAGTGACCACAAGCACAAGCTAAGGGTTACCACCACCTCTTCTTACAGATGTCCTGCTGTGTGCTCCCACTTTCTGGGCACTTGCACCAGGTTAGCAAGCGTTGGTGTGCATGACAGGGCTACTGGGAGAGAGAAGGGTGTGCTCATCTATCTCTGCTACTTCCCAGGAGGCCAGTCCATCCACCCTCAGATGTATAGCTGCCTGTGTTCTCAGGCATCCTGTTGTGCTGTGTGGGCTTCCTCTGTTGCTCAGGGAATGTCCATTTAGTTGTAGTTCAAAGGGGGAGAGAGGAAGGGAACAGCTCACTCCCCCATGTTGCTTGTAAGTCCAATGTTTACTTTCTTCACTGCTATATCTTCAGAGCCCAACCACACAGCCTATCACAGACAAGATACTCAATATTTGTTGAAGAATGAATAGATGAGCGAATTTATATACTTTTTCAATATCCCTAAGGACCAGTGCAATTTTTATTCTCTCTCTTGCTCAGCTGCTGGCTCCGCTCAGAAAGTGGATTTATATGGGGCTTCCTTGGACCAGTCTGTGCCATCTGCTCTGTGAGTGATGACTTCAGAACATCCTTAATGCTCAGCTGGGGGTCATTAGAAGGGCAGAATTATAAGGAGGTGGATGAGCTGGAATATCCTTGGGTTGTCATGGATTTGGTTTGGTTTTCTAAGACTGCTCCAAAAACTACAAACTCTAGCACTGTTACTAAATGTGGAAACTACTTAAGGGTGGAATTGATGTTGGACAGGCTAGGATACAGAAACAGAATGGAATTTTAATCAATAATCCTTCTGTGGTTTCCTGAAGGTCAACTTAGCTTTCTTTCTGATGACTCTCTGGATGTTGAAAAGCAGACTGTCTTCCCTCAACAGTGATGTGTCCACCCTGCAGGACACAAGGTAAGCTGGAGGGGAGGGTGACAGCCCACAGCCGCGTGTGGTCCCAAGAGCGAAGCCATGTCCCTTAGCAGCCCCTGCTGCCCCTTCTCAGGGTCTTCTGAGAACCCAGAGTAATCAGACCCAGCTATGCTTCTGTGGCAGCCAGCTCAGACTCAGGGGTGTGTGGCTGACACCACAGCCAAAATGGTCCATCCATCTCTAGTCCCAGATTGTTACTCCCTCAGCAGCAGGAAGAATTGACATTGGTTGATAAGCATTCTTTGGACTTTTATCAGCAGTCCCATGACAAAAGTGCAAAGAAGATTGATGTTCCCATGAAGCACTTAGAAAACTCTGTGTCTGCTCCCACACCAGTCTACATTTTCACACAACACCATCAGTTCAGATTACTTCTCACCCCTCGTCCATTCCTCTCTCTGGAAAAAAATCCTAGTCAACATCAAATCTAGGAGATTGGGCAGGCCTTTGCTCCAGGAACCCTTGTGGAAATTTAACGATGTTTCTTCTATATTCCTATCATCATCATTTCCAAATGGAAATGGAATCTTACGTGTGTTATTTTTTATGCTCAGGCCCCAGCACAGAGCCTGATGCACAGTACCTCCTCAGTAGTGTTGGCTGAGTGAAAATAGGGATCCCTGTGGAGCGTCATAAAATTTTTGAAGCTTACATTTGAAGTATCGCTATCCTCCTCAATCTAAATCAAACTGCCCTCCTGTACCTGAGTGCCATTTCCATTATGGGGAATCATCAATGGCAAAGATCAAAGATGATCACAGCGCAGCCTGAGAACTCATCACCAGCAGAGGAAGGCAGGAGCATCCATGGGGTGGAGATGTGAATGGCATTGGTGTTGTTGCTCTGGGTGCCTCAGGAGCCTCCTTTCTTATCCTCCACAGGATGCTGACTTTTAAAGCTACAGCTCAGCTCTTCATCTTGGGATGCACGTGGTGTCTGGGAATCCTGCAGGTGGGTCCAGCTGCCCGTGTCATGGCCTACCTCTTCACCATCATCAACAGCCTGCAGGGCGTCTTCATCTTCCTGGTGTACTGCCTCCTCAGGCAGCAGGTACCACTATCCAGCTGCCGCCCAGGACTCTTCCCATCCTCACCCCTCTCAGTGAGCTGATCCAGAGTATGCTTTTCCTCTGCAGGTTCGGGAACAATACGGGAAATGGTTCAAAAGGGTCAGGAAACCCAAAGCTGAGTCTGAGACTTTCACGCTTTCCAGCAGAGCCATGTCTGATGCCTCCAAACCCATCACGGTATGATCATGCATTGCTCCCAGAATACTTCCCCAACTGATCTGCTTGAGCAGCACGTGCCTATCACACTGGACAACCTGGGTGAACAGCAGATGATGCCTTAGGCTGGCTCACGCTTGACTTACTCCTGGACTCGTTAACCATTAGCAGTGGTCTCAGTTTAAAAGTTTATTTTAATAAATGTATTTTGCTTAGGGAACTGTGTTCATCTTGACCTTTACACATCAGCGCTCTTACTGAACACCTGCTATGTGCTGTGCTTGGTTAACTAGATAAGCAAAAAATCAATGATCCAAAGTGGTGATGCATGTTCTACTCAGAGCCGCATTGTTCTGTCCTTCTTCTCTGCACACCTTCTATCTCACAGTCACTCAGCAGCACTCACACAAAGGGGGAAATGGAAGGAAATGACGCACATATTTATGAATTAAACAGACATAAGGGTTAGCTGGCATTTTAGACTTTCTTAAAAAGACTTCCTCATATTTTCAACAGCTTCTACACTATGCAAAACCTTGAAGGAAAAGCATTAATGACGTGGGATAATTCATGGCACAGATTGCAAAGAAGCAACACAGTGGTTTAAACTTACAAAGTCCTTTTACCTATGTTTTCTCAACTCTTCCATCTTCTATGAAATCCCTTGAGTCGTCCTTACCATTTAAAGGAGTCTAGGGTTCTGCCAGGGAGTCCTTGTGCATTTCTCTTGTTACCTTGTTAACCCAGCACTGGTTCCATTGTTGAATCTTCTCTCTCCTCCCCCTTTCTCAGAAAATGTTCTCATCACCTGTTTCACAGACAAAATCAAAGACATTACGATACTTTGTATATTTCACACAATCCACCATACCCACCAAACGTCAGCGTGCATCCCCTCCGCATTCCTGTGTCATCAACACAATTCCCTCCTCCTCTCTGAAGACAATGCTTCTACCTGCTCTTTGGATCCCATCATTCCTGCCTTATCAACTATCCTTACATTATTGTTCACACATTCTCTCTCTCTCTTTCTCTTCCTCCCTCCCCGCCTCCCTCTTTTCTTCCCTCACCTTCTCAACAGTGTTCTTCCCAAAGTTATGGAAACGTTTAGTTTTCTTCCATTTTTCACACAGGTACTACTTGGCCCTGTTCTAGCCACCAGCCAATAGTTGACTTTTCTCTGTGTCTCCATTTCCCTGCTTTAAACTCACTCCCTAACCCCATGCAATATGGCTTCTTTCCCCCATGATTCCACCAAAACATATATCTCTTAGACCTACAGTGATCTCTGTGTTCCTAAAAGCCTTCTCAGAAACTTCTGACACTATTCACCACCCCTTTCTCATGAAACTCTCCATCTTTATCCCCTATAGATTCTATTTATATACCCCTGCATGTCTTTCTTCCATTCTCTCTAGCTTTTATGTCTGTCTCCTTCATAGCTCCATCCAATGAGTTGGTTCCAGAAAAACTTCAGTTCTCATTAAATTCTTTCCTCCTAAACAATCACATCCATTCCTTAGATGCAGTCACATCTCGATGCAAATGATGCCTCTGTATGTTTCCCTAGATCGGACCCTTCCTCTGAGATCGAGAGGAACATCTCCACTTACCTATTTGACATTTTTGATATCTCAAAGACACCTTCCACTCATCCTTCCTATATAAGACTTGCAATCTTTATCCTAATCCAATTCTTTCCCATGGTGTCTGTCTTTCTGAATGGCACTACATCCATCCTGTGACACATTTGAGCCCTGAAAGTTACACTTAACAATGATCTTACTCCGCATCACAACCTATTCATTATACAATGCTGTTCTTTTTTTATCTTAGGTTTCCCTTTTTTATTTATTTATTTTTGGTAAAGATGATTGACCCTGAGGTAACATCTGTTGCCATTCTTGCTCTTTTTTTTCTCCCTAAAGCCTCAGTACATAGTTATGTATCCAATCATAAGTCCTTCTAGTTCACCTATGTAGGATGTCACCACAGCTTGGCTTGATGAGCGGTGTGTAGGTCCACCCCCAGGATCTGAATAGGTGAATCCCAGGCTGCTGAAGCAGAGGGTGCCAGCTTAACTTCTATGCCACTGGGCCAGCCCCAATCCTATTGTTCTCATATTCTCAATATGTGCCCAATATGTCCAGCTGGCTCAATCTCCATCGCTCCCTCCTTGGCCAGGCTGCCATCTTTACTTGCCTGAACAACTGCACTATCCTCCCAACTGACCTGCCTTTTCTATTCTTGTCACCGTCCAATGCATCCTTTACATAGAAGCCTGAGAGAGCTTTTCAAACACAAATAGAATCATGTCACTCCTTTGTTAAATCCATTTCACATAGGACCAAACCCCAAATCCATAATCAATGAGAATTTGCTTGGGTTGTCTCCTGCTTACCTCTCCAGCTTCATCTGCCACATACTCACCATTGTTCCAGCCACATGGGATTTCTTTCAATTTTTTAAATTCACCGTGCTTCTTTGGAATAAAGACTTTGTACATGTTCCTTCTTCTTGAAACACTCTTATGCCTTCCTTGACTCAAAACTATATAAGCCTTCAGATCTCAGCTCATGTGTCAACTCCTCCAAGAAGCCTTCTCTGCCTGCTCAGAATAGGTCAGATTCTCTGGTTTTTCACTCTGATAGCCACTGTGCCTTTCCCGCAGAGCATCTTCAGAGTCATTTCACTCTTGTTTTTCACTATCTGGTTAATGTCTGTCTTTCCTCTAGATCTGAGCTGCAGCAGGCACCATGCTGCTTTTCCTTCCTATTGCATCCTCAGCATTTCACACAAGGCCAGGCCTGTAGAAATGCTCAACGCATAATTGCTGCATGACTGATCACATTAACGAACGAACAAACTGCAGCTGCAGAAGAGGCAAGAATTGTCTTGTTTTCAATCTCTCCACGTCTAACACTTCCCAAGTGCTCAATAGTTACTTACCGAACAAATGAACGAATGAATGAATGAACTTCCTGATCATGATGGAGGTAAAATATTAGAATAAATTATTGATCAGTTTAAGGTGCCTCTTTCTCTTGGGAATTTCAAGATAATTCTCTGCCTTACTTATTGTTTTGTTATTAACCATCATGTCTACCTGTTAACACCCTAATATTTCTTTATGATCAAAGAGCTTTGTGTAGATCTTAGTTCCTAGACTGAAACAGATCTGGAATAAAATAGCAGCTCTACCAAGTACTTGCCATGTGAACTTGGTCAAACTGAGAAACATTTTAAGTCCTCAATCGTCCCCTTCATCTCCCATGTACAAATGAGACAGTTTTCTGAGTCTTGCCCAATCAGAACTAATTAATTGCTTCCATTTGCAGGATTTCGAGTGAACTGTGCTTTGGTGGGAGGGGGATGACCATCCCCCCACAGTAAATGTTGACTCATCCAAGGATGCACAATGTAACCGAGCAGGAGCCAATGCAGCATCCCTCAGTACAGCTGATGTTGAACACATAAGGGAGGGTCCCACGGATCTGAGAGGCTGAATTCTCGCTGTTCCACAGGCCTGTCCCACTCAGGGCTTGCACTCATTCAGGAAGAACATAGCAAGTAATCCACGCCTTTCTGTTTAGGGGAATGCTAACAGTACCTGTCCCTCGTGTTCTTGAGTCAGCTCAGCCTCAGCAAGGCCGTATCCTTATCCCTGGGAGCTAGTTCCCAGGAGTCCCTCAACCAAATCGGAGCTGCCTTCACTCCAGAATCCCAGAAAACTGATTCTTCCACATCTATACTTTGAATGTATTTATTCTCTATTGCTGTAGGACCAAATTACCACAGACTTACTGCTGAACCCAACACAAATTTATCTTACTGCTCTAGAAGTAGAAAGTCTCAAATCGGTCTTAGGGACCAAAATCAAGGTGTCATCAGAGCAGCGTTCCTCCTGGAGATTCTAGGGGAATATCCGTTTCCTCACCTTTTCCAGCTTCTAGAGGCTGTCTGCATTTCTTGGCTAGGAGCCCCTTGAGCCACTCCCTCATCACAGCCTGCAGTGTAGCATCTCCAGTCTCTCAGTCTCTCTCCTCTGCTTCTGTCACCATATCTCCTTTCCTGTCTTTGAGTCAGACTCTGCTGCCTCCCTTTTTCCCTTATAAAAACCCTAGTCATGATGTTGGCTCACCTGGATGCTCCTGGATAATCTTCCCATCTCAAGATTCTGAGTTTAAATATATCAGCAAAATCTGTTTTCCCATATAAAGTAACATATTTACAAATCCAGAGATGAGAATGTGAGCATCTTTGGTGGATCAGTTTCCTCTCTACCATACTTACTGTACAAGGTTTAGCTTACCTATTGTAGAGCCATCAAAATTTGGCTCATAGTATAGATATTTGAACAAATATTTATCATCCTCTCATCCCACCAATTTCCCTCCTGCCCAGAGATGATATACACAGTGAATCAAAGAAACGTACACTTTCTGTGAGAGAAATGCAGCAATGGCATCAGATAGCTAATGAAACCTTCTAAAATTCGAGTAATCTCATCACATATATCTACTATCTATGAGTAAAGGACCAAGAAGATTCATTGCCTAATGTAATTTTACCTTCTATGATCTCCTAAAATGTAGTGTCTCTGCTGTGTAAAGATGTAAAGGCATCTCCCTCTCGTTTGGCATCCCTTCCATGGCTTCCTGAAGTTTCATCCAAGGAAAACAAAATATTTTCTCTTGTTCTCAGGTCTGAGTAATTTCCTGAAGTACAGTATTTACAAAGTTTTTGAGTAAAGATAAGCAGGTGAAGTCGCCCACCTAAATTTCAGAAATTTTGCTTAGCTTCCTGTGCACGTAGGAACAAATAACTCACACTGGGGGTGGAAAGAAGAAGGGCGTGAAAGGAATTTAATGCCTTTTCCTTTCTATCTTAGGTGAATAACTGTAGGTAATCCTTCCCACATTTCACTCATTTCTCAGCTGCCGTCTTATGTGACTCCAGGCATAGAGCAACGTTTCACAAACCCTGAAGCAGAGGGAACAGGAAACACATTTGAAACAGATGGATAATTTTTTGGAGCAGATTTAATTGCTGTTATCTTCTGTAACTTGGGGGTTAGGAAATGTAGGGAGATGGGATTTCTGAGAAAGACCAGGGTCCAGCAGAAGGCAATCTGATATGGCCTTTTGGTCTTGCCTTGACGAATCTGTCTGGCATAGAAATTTGTGATTACTTCTGAAATTTCTTATTTTTTTTTTCCAAAGCAAACTTTTAAGCTCTCTTTCTATGGTTTTATATATCACGTCTAAAACATTTTCTCTCCAGGTGAATTGAAAGATCTTTTGAACTATATCCTCTTCTCCCATGGGAAATCAGAACTGTTATTCTTTGAGCCATTAGGAGAGGAGAAGGATGATTTTGTGGTGTGTGTTTCAAGAAAGCCATCGTGTCAGCAATGTGGAAGAAGTCGTGGTGGACATGCTCACGCTCGATTCCTGTGAAATCTGGAACTTTTCTGTGCCCCACAGTATGTTCAGAAAGCACTCCACACAGAAAAGGCCAGTTGAGGGCCAGTTCTTTGGTCTCTTTGGGTTAAGCCCTTTTCTGAAACCTCTTCTTCCTACAAATGCTCTTCCACATGCTAAAATTCTATGAGCAGGAACACCAGCCTGAATGAATTTTCAAACCAACAACAGCCAAAAGATCAGGAATGTTCACACCATAGTCTGGATTTTCAAATTTCTTTGTTCTGTTTTCTATAGGTTTAATTATTCAGTCATTCAAAAATATTGATTACTCACTGTGTGCAAGGCAGAGATCAGGAGAGAACAGGCCCTCCTTCATGGACTTGACTCAGAGGCTGAAAGATTCCTATAAACCAAGTCCTACAGCTGGACAATTGAAGTATGAACTATTTCACAGACTCCATCTCCTTTCCTCCTCACATGGAGCTACATTGAAAGCTCAGATCATCATCTGTATGTTTTAGGCTGTGTGGGCCAGTGTAATAGTCAGGATTCTCCAGAGAAATAGAACCAATAGGATACACAGACACACACACACACAAATATGAAATATGAAGAGACTTGTTATGAGGTATTGACTCACATCATAATGGAGGGTGAGAAGTCCCACAGTCTGCCACCTGTCATCTGGGAACCCAGGAAAGCCGGTGGTGTAGTTTGAAGGCCTAACAGCCAGGGAGCCGTAGATTAACATCAGGGCCTGAAAGCCTGAGAGCCAGGAGCACCGAGGGCAGGAGACTGATGCCCCAGCTCCAGCACTCAGCCTGAGTCAATTCAACTTTCTCCATCTTTTATTCTATGCAGACCCTCAGTGGATCAGGTGATGCCCATCCTCACGGGACAGGGCCATCTGCTTCACACAGTCCACCAACTCAAATGCTAATCTCCTCTGGAAACACCTCACAGATACACCCTGAAATCACGCCTCACCAGCCATCTGGGCGTCCTGTGCCCCAGTCAGGAGGACACAAAAATTAACCATCACAGCCAGATAGCTACAGCAACAACTCAACTCTGCCATTGTAGCATGAAAATGGCTATAGACACTCAAAATTGAATGCTTATGGCCATGTCTTCATAAATCTTTATCTATGGAGATATTAAGGGTGTTCTGGGGAGCTCCTCATCTGACACCAATTTATTCATTCACTCTTCAAATATTCGGTGAGCACTTACTCTTTGGAAAGACATCATGCTAAACTGAAAGAAACTAAAGTTAACAAGATAGACATCATCTCATTCTCTAGGAATAGTGAGGACCTGTGAATTGGTCAGCTCAGGCTGTCATAAAAAAACCACAGACTGGACAGCTTAACCAACAGAAATTACTTTCTCACAAGTCTGGAGACTGGGAAGGCCAAGAGCGAGGTTTGACAGGGTGGGTTCTGGTGAGAGCTCTCTTCCTGGCTTGCAGATGGCCACCTTCTCGCTGTGTCCTCTCATGGCCTTTTCTTGCAGCTTGAGCATGGGCAGACAGAGAAACGAAACTCTTTGATGTCTTTTCTTTCAAGGGCACTAATCCTTCTATGAAGGGCCTGCTCTCATCTAAGCCTAATTATCTCCCAAAGACCCACCAGCAAACACCATCACATCAGGGGTTAGGGCTTCAACACATGAATTCACAGGGCAGCGCAAACATTCAGTCCACAACGGTCTGTAAGATGGAAAACCAGGAGAAAGAGAAAATGCAGTATAGGAGATACTGTGGTCTAGGGACACACAGCCCTGTGGGGACACGGCAGAAGTGGAACCAGCCATGGTTGGAGAGGGCAGATGGGAGAGAGCTCTCGGTCAACTGAGGGCAGCATTCCGAGATGTTTACGGCGTGGGAGGCAGATCTCAGCATTTGCCCTCATATCTTCACCTTTAAAAATCTATCAAATATATTATCCTTATTTATAATGGGAATAACAACAATAATTTCCTCATGGGTCATTTTTTAATGTTAACTGAGAAAGTAAAGATTAAGCTCTGGTAGGAAACCCAAAGACAGACAAGAATTAACCAGGACGAGTGAGCTTGGGGGTTCCCCAGCTCATTTATCCAGAACTCTGTCACTGAGTTAGAAACAGCCATGAGACACCTCTCATGACAGGCCTCCAGTACATGACCACGCCCATCAAAGAGAGCAGGTACAAAGGTTGAAGAGGTCTCTCCGTTAAGCTCTCCACTTTGGGGGTCTGCTGTGACAGCTCCCCTCACTGGCTGCCCCCTTTCCTGGTTCTGATGGTCACCGTGTAGATGAGGAAACAGGGACTCATTGAGGATTTAGCCCCATGGTGGAGAACATAGAATCCAGACACAAGAAAGTATATAACCAGAAGCTGTCGGATGCCAGCAGTTAAGGAGCCCATGTTCACGGAACTGGAAGTGTCTAAGTCAGGGACCACAAAACTACAAATAGCAGGATCTGCAGACGTGGAGTCCTCAAATCTCAGAGATACCAAGAGGCTGGGCACTTGGGTCCTAAGATTGTGCATCCAAGAGTGAGGATCCCGGATGTGGAAGTTCCTCAGGGTAGGAGGGGTGGCCTAAGAAGTGAAATGGAAGGAGGGGTATTGGGGAAGGAGTGGACAAAAGGAGTGAGTGGAGGGGCATTGGGGATGCTCGGGACTGCAGTAACCTGGGAGGGACCCAGCTAGACCACTCAG